TGTTTCTGTAAACGGCCCCAGGGAAACTTACTTTGAGGACGCACCTCGTATTTCATTATATAGGCATTAGAATTGAGATAAATATCCTAACGTGGGTCAATTCCTGTAATGGTCTAAAACCATTCACCATTTTCAAGTGGTTCAACGTCACCGATGGCTTCCGAATCCCAGTCTCCATCCTTCTCTGCCCATCCACTGTCCTTCGTCCAGTTCTCTCTTTGCCATTGATTTCTGGGTTTCTTTCATCTGCCCCTCTGTTTTCTCGTAGCCCTCCTTCCTGGTGACATCCAGTCGATCAGTTTGAGTCATCTGTTGTTTGCCACTTTTACACGTGTTCCTTGACGTAATGATTGTTTTGTGTTCATCATGCAAAATGCAAGTTTTTAAATCCACCTTTACTCCAATTACGTGACTTTGAATTTTGGTTTTCCTTCATATTCTTGCCAATCCTTTCCAAAATTCAATTTTAGGTGCCAAAATTTTTTTATTAAATTTCTTCCTAAACGACACCCCCTCCCCCCAAGCCACGTAATACAATATTTATATTATTTTCACATATATATCTTGTTTAGTTTTCCTTATAACTCCATTAACACATATTATAATATTCATAGATGAATTTAGAATCAGCACGAATTTATTCTGTCGAGAATTCCAGAATCATACATTCCATCCTCGTTTATGTTTATTCCAAACTATTTGCAACTATTATTGTTTTACGGTGTCTTTTTCTCTGCCTGCAAGTGGTGTCACTCCCTTCCTTATACAGAGCAAGGCATTGCAAGCTTTGATATGAGGTGAAGAAATTTTGTACTAAGAACAAATGCAATTTTTTTATGGTTCAACGGAATATGCGTATAATTTTCATTTTATTTCTGTATAGGTTGCGATTAATCGACTATTTATTTGTCTTTGAACCCCTCCGTGTTTTCAACCAGGTGAACAGTCGTGTACAGAATGATTATCAGATTATCCTACAGCTTAGTTCATTTCCTAAAACGGTTTACCGCTAGAAATAGGTTGTGTCATTACGTAGGTACGAAACACTCATCACTTCATTCATATTAGTAAAGAATTTCATAAACAGAGACCTAATAAACATTTATTTATACATCTTTAAAAACAAATATTTCTAAACTTTTTACTTCTTAATCATATTTTCAGGTGGGAAATAAAGCTTGAAGTTTAGCTCAAAAACAATGCCCTTATTAATGCTAGACTCTTCGTTGTACTCTTTTGTACATGAGTTTCTGTTAGCCTAATTTGGTTTTCTTTTGACAATTTCAACTGAGCTTAAGATCCAAATTTCAGTTCAGTGCCAGAACCTATGAAACATGTTATTTAAGCCTAACACCAGACGGATTTTTAACTATGTTTCCACAATCTTTTTTAAAGCGGAAAGTTTGATTCTCCATTTGGTTTCCGAGAAACTTTTGCGCAACACGTGTACATTCGCACTGCATTCCATTTGGTGCAATCAAAGAGGCGAAGTTCAGGTCCCGTAACCCTGTTTCTGTCCGTATTTTACTTCGTCGGAAGACTGAAGGCCATCACTTATTCCTTGCAACCCAGTCCCGCAGACCAATTACAAATTCCGCCAATAGGATCAAATGATAATTGTCTGGGGCAAGTATACTCCCAGCCCAGAAGTTCGCCATTTTCCATCTTGGCACACGAGATAAATTTCTTGCAAGAGAAAGGGTGTGGGAAATTCCCGCGGTCTAGGCATTCGATATAACCATCGGAGTGAATCTTAACTTTCCCTGAAATCGGCGCCACGTCTAGGATTCCGACGTCATCGTCATCGTAGTACTCGTAATCTATGACAGGCGTTGGTTTGGGTCTTGCGTTGCTGGTACGTGCGCTGGTCGCTGGAGCGGCAGCAGCAGATGGCGTCGTCTTCGAGAACGGACGTGGCCTGGCGGAGACGCTGTCCGGTAGGCGCCTGGGGGACGCTGACCCAGATGACGATGGAAGGGATTGCTCGCCGGGGAACACTTTAGATGCTCGACGAGGGGGTGGAGAAGATGTGGCCGGTGTTGAACTACTTGTTGATGAAAATCTTGGCGTCGTAGAGATTGTACCTGAATAGAATAAAGAAGGTTTTGCTGTGTGAAATTCCTTGTCAGATACATGATTTTAGGTTTTCACAGCGGTGAGTATGAAGATTTCTGTCTTCTGGGTTGTTGCGCCGTGTAGTATGGTCGATGTTTACCAACGTTTTAGAGGTCTTTGCTGTCTCCATCGTCAGGGCGGTGATGACGGAGGCAGTATGACCTCTGAAACGTTGGTTAACATCGACCAGACTACACAGCGCAACAACCCAGAAGACAGAAATCTTCATACTCACCGCTGTGAAAACCTAAAATCATATATCTGACAAGGAATTTCACACAGTAAAACCTTCTTTATTCTATTCAGGTACAATCTCTACGACGCCAAGATTTTCATCAACAAGTAGTTCAACACCGGCCACATCTTCTCCACCCCCTCGTCGAGCATCTAAAGTGTTCCCCGGCGAGCAATCCCTTCCATCGTCATCTGGGTCAGCGTCCCCCAGGCGCCTACCGGACAGCGTCTCCGCCAGGCCACGTCCGTTCTCGAAGACGACGCCATCTGCTGCTGCCGCTCCAGCGACCAGCGCACGTACCAGCAACGCAAGACCCAAACCAACGCCTGTCATAGATTACGAGTACTACGATGACGATGACGTCGGAATCCTAGACGTGGCGCCGATTTCAGGGAAAGTTAAGATTCACTCCGATGGTTATATCGAATGCCTAGACCGCGGGAATTTCCCACACCCTTTCTCTTGCAAGAAATTTATCTCGTGTGCCAAGATGGAAAATGGCGAACTTCTGGGCTGGGAGTATACTTGCCCCAGACAATTATCATTTGATCCTATTGGCGGAATTTGTAATTGGTCTGCGGGACTGGGTTGCAAGGAATAAGTGATGGCCTTCAGTCTTTCGACGAAGTAAAATACGGACAGAAACAGGGTTACGGGACCTGAACTTCGCCTCTTTGATTGAACCAAATGGAATGCAGTGCGAATGTACACGTGTTGCGCAAAAGTTTCTCGGAAACCAAATGGAGAATCAAACTTTCCGCTTTAAAAAAGATTGTGGAAACATAGTTAAAAATCCGTCTGGTGTTAGGCTTAAATAACATGTTTCATAGGTTCTGGCACTGAACTGAAATTTGGATCTTAAGCTCAGTTGAAATTGTCAAAAGAAAACCAAATTAGGCTAACAGAAACTCATGTACAAAAGAGTACAACGAAGAGTCTAGCATTAATAAGGGCATTGTTTTTGAGCTAAACTTCAAGCTTTATTTCCCACCTGAAAATATGATTAAGAAGTAAAAAGTTTAGAAATATTTGTTTTTAAAGATGTATAAATAAATGTTTATTAGGTCTCTGTTTATGAAATTCTTTACTAATATGAATGAAGTGATGAGTGTTTCGTACCTACGTAATGACACAACCTATTTCTAGCGGTAAACCGTTTTAGGAAATGAACTAAGCTGTAGGATAATCTGATAATCATTCTGTACACGACTGTTCACCTGGTTGAAAACACGGAAGGGTTCAAAGACAAATAAATAGTCCATTAATCGCAACCTATACAGAAATAAAATGAAAATTATACGCATATTCCGTTGAACCATAAAAAAATTGCATTTGTTCTTAGTACAAAATTTCTTCACCTCATATCAAAGCTTGCAATGCCTTGCTCTGTATAAGGAAGGGAGTGACACCACTTGCAGGCCGAGAAAAAGACGCCTTAAAACAATGATATTTGCAAATAGTTTGAGATAAACATAAACGAGGATGGAATGTATGATTCTGGAATTCTCGACAGAATAAATTCGTGCTGATTCTAAATTCATCTATGAATATTATAATATGTGTTAATGGAGTTATAAGGAAAACTAAACAAGATATATATGTGAAAATAATATAAATATTGTATTACGTGGCTTGGGGGAGGGGGGGTGTCGTTTAGGAAGAAATTTAATAAAAAAAATTTTGGCAGCGAAAATTGAATTTTGCAAAGGATTGGCAAGAATATGAAGGAAAAACAAAATTCAAAGTCACGTAATTTGAGTAAAGGTGGATTTAAAAAACTTGCATTTTGCATGATGAACACAAAACAATCATTACGTCAAGGAACACGTGTAAAAATAGCAAATAACAGATGACTAAAACTGCTCGACTGGATGTCACCAGGAAGGAGGGCTACGAGAAAACCGAGGGGCAGATGAAAGAAACCCAGAAATCAATGGCAAAGAGAGAACTGGACGAAGGACAGTGGA